ATCCAATGTTGATGCTTTGATTCTTCAATGCATATCTTGTGTGTTGTTAGATGATGTGATGTGGGTAGCCGTATGGCGTGAATCCTAGATTGTGGAATCGATTGAGAATGTGGCCTTTTTGGCAAATATATGTATTGTTTAAATTGATTAAAAGTGCATGATGATTGTGATGGAGTTCGTTGCCGTTTGACGCGATATTGAGAATGCATATTGATTGTATGCGATTGTATGTGAAGCATCATGAATGTGTATTCTTGTGCATTGCTTGATAAATATAATGATGGTGTTGAAAGTATGAATACTTTGTTTATTATGAAATATGTTGTGTATGCAATCATGTTATAATTCTTGTGTGATGAATTATTGAGAATGCATGGGATTAAGATGCGAGAACGGTATTAAGTGCATTTGTTTGTTAATTGCATACGCATCATTTGTTGTCAAGAGGCATTACTTGCTAGTTTCGTGGAGACTAGTGACTTGTCCCAAACCTAGAGTGGGGTTTGAAAGCTTAGGAAACGGGCTTTTGTTTGTTATTGGTCTAGGGAACGGACCCAGTTTAAATGTAAAAATCAAAAAATAATAACAAGTGTTGGTACCATATGGCATGAGTTGCATTGAGTCACATGGCATAGGTATAATTGTTGTATGAATTGTTGAACTGGGAGTTGTGAATCAATGAATAAACATAATTGTAAATGTTTATGTGGAAATGAGTGAATTATGGATGTATGCATGATGAATGTGCTTGGTGATTATCCATATATTTGTATATACATTGTGACGTATATGGAAGACTTGTGGTGAGAATGTTGATTATGTGTATTCTAAGATTGTAGATATATATGATTATATGCATTGTTATTATGATAATATTTCTCACCTTTCTGCTGTTTTATGATGCTCTATGAGGCATTGTAGAGTAGGTATGCTGGAGGTCTTTTTGTGAAGCGTGTCTTAATTCTTTTGTCGGTCAACTCTGATATGTAGCATCGGGTAGCTAGGATATATGATTCTTTTGTGATACGTTGTATATGTATCTTGTTGTGGAATGTTTATGAAAACATGAATTACGCTGTGAATTAAACTATATGATATATATATATATATATATATATATATATATATATATATATATATATATATATATATATATATATATATATATATATATATATATATATATATATATATATATATATATATATATATATATATACGTGTGTGTGTGTGTGTGTGTGTATGTTTGATGATTATCAATATTTAGATGTTTCTGCTTTTATTCTAAATATTGAGATGTGGGTATGAGGACTAAGTTCCTCTGTTGAAAGTTACCCCACTGTTGCATATCTTTATTGAGCAGGTGTTGTATGTTTTAAATTCAAGTATGATGTGGCACATCTCTTTTATACCGTGTTTTAATTATACTCTGATGGATTTTTAATATGTGTCTAAATGATTTATTTGATTAATTGGAGGTACAGAAAGGGGGTGTTACAGCCACCGCGAGAGTATCAAAGGCGGCAACACGGGAAACCGTCACTGAAAGAAAAACCAGCCACGCATTAACCTTCTCTGCAAACCTCTCTCGCTCTTGGTTCCAATCGATTTGTATTTGACTCGCTTTGGTTCCGTTTCTTTTAATTTCTCTCCCCTTCTACTCTTATTCTATTTTATGGTTTTGTGCTATTTAGGAGTGATTGGGTGTTTGGATTTGAAGGATATGAAGGTTAGGGATTATGAGTGAGGTTTGAGTGGGATTTGAGGAAATGTTGAAGATGAGATTGGGTTTGCAGAAGATTGTAGAATCGGCCCCCTAAAGGCGGAATGAAATAGGTTGAATTTATAGAGAAAATGTGAGGGTATTTTTTGAATGGATGGAAAGGATTTGCATTGTGAAATTATGACGTGGTTGTTGTGATTTTATTCTGTATGGATCGTGACACGTCTTGTAGTGGTGTGTTTGTGGAATTCCTTCAAGTTGCTGTGAATATTCATTGCAGGATGTAGGTGCGGTGCGTGATGGTTATGGTTTGTCAAGGTTGTTGATATGTGTATGCGTTGGATTTTGCTTGCTGCGTGGTATGAGTGGTCATGTTATTCATGAAATGAGGTGGGGTATGGTTTATGCGAAGTCGCGAGGAAGTCTGTGTGGAGTTTTTGCGTCTTCTGTTGTGTGAGAGGTTTGTACAAGTTATAGGACATTGTGTGGGGTCTAGTTTGTCGTTTGTGCATAACAATTTTTTTTTTTTTTGCAGGTGAGGTTGTTAGCGTAGAACGACTTTGGGAGCTTGTTGCAGGTTTATGCGTGATGGGTTTTATGAATCAGGCGGTTAGTAAGGTGAATCATGCCAAGTTGTTGTGGGATTTCATGGCTACAAGGAAAGATTTGAAGTGCGAGTAGAGGCTGAGTTAGTCGTGTGGACCATGTTGGATTTCATGATGATGCATAATATGAAAATGACATTTTTTTATATATTGATTTCCTATATTGATTATTATGAATCGTTTTACTCACCCTGCCTGTTTGAATGTTTCCTCCACGTGGGTAACGTGCAGATGACCAGGTTTAGCCGTGGATGTCGTCGATGATCTTTTTCGAGTTTTGAGTTGTTGGCCATTTTGGTTGACTTAGAGGGTTTTGCTCTGATAGTGTAACATCGAGTTGGAGTCTTTGAGTTAAACCATGTTTTATTTTATTTTTGTTATTTTGATTATGTTTTCGTACAAGGAAAACTTTGGATTATGCCTTTTTGAGTTCCGTTGCCTTTTGAGCAAATTTTGATAACTTTTGTGAAAACTCGTTGTTTACGGAGCCTTGACCTATATTTGATTTATTGGGAAATGTACACCCTTTGAGGTGATTTTTTTTTTTTTTTGAGTTTAATATTTTACTCTGATAAATGTGAATGTTTTACCATTAAAATTGTGGGGGTAGAAAAGAGTGTTACACACAACACAAAGGCTCAATCTGCCATCACCGCGAGAGGTAACATTTCCCGCGCATTCTCCATGTGCTCCTCACGAGGGAACACGTCACCAACTGAACCCACGTCCTTGAGAATAAGTCATCCACTTTCCGGAGTTTGTGGGCAGCTGACCCAGAACGAAGACCATGTGCTGGTCTTTTCTACCTCTACGTAGGATCCTGACAGTCATCTGTTGTGGGCCTTACGATCCAACCCACAGTAGATGACTATTGGTCCAGGGCTGGGGGCACATTATAAATAGCCTCCTCCACAGGAGGGTCAGGTATCCTAGTTCATACTCACTTTCTGTACTTGCTCTCTCTTTCACTCTGAACCTCACTTTAGCATCAGAGTGTTTTGCAGGTACACCCCATCCTCTTCTCCACCACCGGTGAACTTGAAATTCACAACGTGTTACTGGCCACTGGATATTCTTCTAATCTCAATAAAATCAGGATTTTTTTTTTTTTTTCATTAATTTGTTCTTATTCATTGTATTTTAATTTACGTAATTACTCTATTATCTATCATTAATAAGATTATTTTTATAAATATTATACATTTTATCACTGAAATTAATATAATCAATTATTATTTTAAAAAAATATGAAGAATAAAAATGTTAAAGATTCGAAGATGACACTTAATATGAAATAGAGGGAATAATTTAATGTCTATGAACATTAACGGAACAATTTAATATCTCTTATTTTACGGAATAATTTTTATATGCAATTTAATCGACTTCATTTAAACATCTAAAACTCTATATACATTTAAAATAGCACAGAAGGGTCGTGCTGCTTTTTTTTTAATCAAATTTTAGTATTGTGCTAAATCAATTAAACAAAACAAAACTAAGGAGAATATTTGGTTTATCAAAAAATGAAAATAATAATACCTTATTTTATCCAACTACTATTTATTCAACATAACATTTAAGAAAGAAACTAAACAATTGCCTCAAAAAATTCTAAAAATTACTTCTTTCTGTTTTTTTAATTGTTACACTCTCTATTTTTTTTATAAGCAAATTTTAACTTTTTAGATTTATTAAATAATTAATATATCTAATTTATATATTTTTCAAATAAATCATTTATTAAAGTCGATGGTTGAATAAGAGACCGACTCATTGTGTTAAAAAATTTTCTTATATGATGGTCAAATAGCGTATTCTGTTATAACGTCAATGACGAGTAAGAGTGTCTGTTAAAAGTAGTACAAACATATAGATGAAAGAACTTCTAATTAAAGAGAAGTATAGTAGATGGACTCACAATTGAGATGAAGATTGTTGAGAAACAACCGTAAGTTATAAGTCTCACGTTAGCTAAGTGTTTGACCCAATTTAAATACTCCCCCTCATCATAATCCGACGATGTATCATCGCAACTCCGTTCGTTATATGTCCTCAAACAACAAACCTTTTAAAATGACTGAAACTTGAACTTCAAACATCATATTAGAATCTTTGAAAAGAAATTAACTTATCATCGTAAAAAAAATCATTCTCAATCATTGTTCATCTAAATGACGAACAATTTAGCTTCTAACAACTTTCAAGTTCACTTCATTTTCTCACAATTAAGAGATTTTTACATCATTCAAGTTGAAAATAGAGTTGCATATTGTGCATGACCTTGAAATCCTCAATCATAACAACTAAATATTTAAGTCAATTAATCATGTCATCTTTTTCTAGCTTATGATAAAAAAAGGGATTTTCCCCGGATAAAAATTTTACACAGACAATGCTCTTTATTCAGAAAGTTACATGGTTAAACATCTACATTTCAATTTCATCATCAATGATTGAATACCTGAATAATGATACAAGTACAACTAACTTTCAGTGGACCATAGCTGTTTCATGTACATTCGTTAAGTGAATTTCCTAGACAACGTAGTTAAGGATATGTTGTCTGGTATGACTTACACAGTGTCACTGTCTTTCCAAAGGCACAACCTTTTTCTCACTCTTTTTACAACATGAGTAATGTTGGTCTTTTCCCATGTGGGTCAAGAGGGTCAACTGTGATCTCTATCAATTGCATCAAATTCCCATTCACTTATCTCTTCTGCTGAGTCATCCTCGCTTGATTTATCGAGTTCTTCAATTGATATTGTTCTCATAATAAATGATGGAGATTTTTTCTTTTTATCTTGCTTGTTTTTATTAGGCAACTTCAACATAGGGGATGGAGTTGCTGAGGGTGTTTCTGACTTTTCAATTGGTGCCTCAATTTGCAACTTTGGTCTCTCAATTGATTCAAAATCTTGTTTTATTTTCTCAATGGCGTGTGATAGTTCTGTCACCTTGTCCTTATCTTTTCTGTATCAAAATTGTAATGGTATAAGCAAACAACGTGTAACATGAGAAAAAGAGACAATGAGAGAGGCAGGGTAAGAAAGAGAGTAAGAAACAGCGACCACTACGAGAATCACACATTTATGAAATCAAGAGATTTCAGTTGTTGGATAGAGATGAGACGATTCATATTGTGTCTTCATCAAATAGACTTAAATAATTGATATCAACAATTGTAGCGATACATGCATGACAAGAATCCAATTCCAAGACACAATGGATTTTGACCTCCACGCATTAAATGTATGACGCGGTAACTGATCTTGGTTATTGATCTCAAATCAGTGGTGTAGACGATTTAAAGATGATTTGAAGGAAGTCTAATATGATCCAAATGATCTCAAATCAATGGTCTAGATCAATAGTAGGGAATCTATATTCAAACACAGCATACCTGAAAATGCCTTCCTTTTGAATGTGAAACTGCTTGTCCATGAAGTCCACTATATTCAAAGTGGTTAAAAACTGACAAGTAGAGAAAGAAAAGATCATTAGTTTTATGTTATACCTACCTTAGGAGTATATGATTACCTTACATTAAAGCCATGACAGGTTATAAATTCACATTAGGAGATAAAAACAAACATTATAAAGATAAGTTACCTTGGATTCTATGTCCAAATACTCTTCTTCAAGCTTTTTCCTTGGATTCTCTACTCTTGAACCGTCATTATTTACTGGTATTTCTAACCTGATAAAAATCAACAGTTGAAGGCATGGGTTTGACACAAATAATAATTCAGAAAGGCTGAATACCATACCCTTGACTTGATCTTAAATTCTCCACAAGTGTTCTTATTTGAGGAACAGATGAACCCAGATTTTCCTAACATAAGAGTAAGCTAGTAATGTGAAGATGAGAAAAATGAAATAAATAAGTTAATATTAAAAAAATTAAAAAGAAACCTCAAGTTAGGATTGTTTATTACCTTATAAGAAGACAGAAGATTAACAACCAAATTCACAAAATAATCTCCATATCTCTCCAATTCAGCACTTCAGATGCAAAAAGAAAAATAAATAATCAATAGATGAAAATACACATTTAAGTCACATAAAATAACTATCATGCCATATATTTATTAGTAGAATAAACTCAAAAAGTATAATTTCAAATGTTATTTGATCATATTTGATTGTTAAACTACAGGACATACTTGATCTGCTCCTCATTTCTCTTGGTAAGAGAGGTTTTAAATATCCATGTGTGCTCTAGAAAGTTGACCCATGTATCAACAACCTTGGTTTCGGTTGTATAAGAAGCAATGGCTCGTGACATCTCGTCTTCCTAATATAAGGAAAACTTTAATAATAAAATGGCATGCTCGTATTAGGAACTTTCAACGATGCGCATGAAATAAAAACCTTTTGTACCTTCGTTTTTATATGTACAATAATTTCATTGCTTGCATCATCAAATTGGTCTTTTTCTTCTTTTGCATTGCGGAGACGTGTACGAGCAGATGTCAACAAAGTGTTTACCTACAATAATATCTTAGCCGCGTAAACTGGATATAATCAATGCAGATGCTATGCAACAAAATTTAAAAAGGTGCAGTTCCTGAATTCAAATGTTTTTTTAGCATTGTAATTAAAGCATTCAAGAAGAGTTGACTAAAAAACCTTTTTAAGTTTGTCTTCGAGCTCATTTTTCTGCTTCTCGAGTTCTTCAATCTCCACTCCCAGCTCCTGAAAAAGTACTTTGGCATGTAACTTGACATATTCATCGATTTCATTTCATATATCTTAATTCTTTTCTACGTCTACAACAAGACAAAATAATCTGATAATGTACCTTCTCAATTTCGCTAACCTCATTGGACTTGGTTAGCCGAAAATGAAGTGCTTCTTCTTTCTGAGATCTGCTTGAGAATAAAAACAACAATAACATTTATGGAAGAAAAATATTAAAAAATTCATTCAACATTTTCATCGTTTCGATACAAACTTTCATCTAACCAAAAGATCAGATGAGATGCAACAAGTATCAAAACTTTACTTCAAACGAAAATTATATGTATCGTGCAACATAAAGTCTGTTTAGTACCTTTGCGCGATATGAAGGCACTTGAATATACAAGAAAAAAAACGGTTTTATTCTTTTCTTTAATCTTAAGAAACTGAGAAGCATAATAACTATTTCTGTCACCTGTGCTCCGAAATGCGACTCTGAGCTTTTGTCGTAGAATTTGCAAGAGATTCTGACAAAATTTTCATTTTATCAACCTGGAAGGGATTCAATCACCCACCATCACCCACAAAAAGTTTAACATCATGAGCAGGAAATTGAGCATCATTTCACTGTGAATAAAAAAAGTATGCCTACTTACAAATGCAATTGAGTAAGTATAAATGATACAATACTGATTACTGTAGAACACACAAATGTGTTAAAACTTTAGGACTCTACAAGTTTATGGCAAAGAATTGATAAAAATGAATTTACATGTATTATGGAAATTCCAGAATTCAGGTTAGATCAGCCTAAAGCTGGTGGAAATATTAAATGGTGAACCAAACCGAAAACACTGAAACATTGCTTCGTGCCCCTCAAAGCCACTTATTTAACGAATTACAAATACAGTATCAATTTTGACTACTTTTTTTGCTCTTTTCGGTGAATCATTAAGAAACCATAACATAATTAGATAAAACGCTTCATTAGTAGAAGAGATAAGAAAATGACCTTTTCAGCATAAAGTTCTGGAGAATCATCAGAGCTAAAGTCTTTCTTTTTCAATAAGAGTTCCTCCAACTTTGAAAACATTTGAATATTTTTCATAGCTTCATCTAAAGCCTGACCATAAACAAAAATGCTCAATTGCAACTACGGTATAAGTTTACACATAGATACATGATCTTGTGATTTTAATCCATTAGTAATTGCCAAAATATGTCACCTCTATTGTAACAGGCGCTGTCTCGACTGAATTTGATGCCTTCATCTTGTCAATTTTATCTTTCAGATTGCAGGCTTCAACTTCTATTCTGAGATAGGAGAGTGTATCACACATACAAGAGAAGAAATGAAAAGTAAATTTACTCTTGAGTCTCAACATTGGTTCAAAGCATATTAAGTCAAGAAGATCAATATTGTTTTGTAACAACCTCATAAGATCAGCATTTACTTTCAGCCCTGAAATGGAAGCTTGAACATATTGAAGTAACTCTTCTCGTTTTGCCTGTTAAAAATATAAAGTGAAGAGGGAAAATGAGTATTTGCGTACATGTTCCTCACAATGTGTGTAGGTTTATATTAACGATAAACGAATAAGTCTATAAAAAAGTATATTAAAACACTTACCAATACTTCATCTTCATATCCAGAAAATGCTTGTGCCAACTTCTGTACACTGGATAACAAGGCAGTTTGTTCTTCCTTCCCCCCTTTAATGCAAAGCCTAAACAACACCGAACCGGAAACAAAATTTTAAGGAAGTTAATCCTGCTGTGAAAGCCACTAACTATCTTCGACCAACATTTGGCTTCAGAATATCAATTAACCAAAAAAAAGAGATAAATGAAGACAATTTTACCCATATATCTCTGAAAGTAGTGAAAATTCTTCCTCATTTGGTTCTTCAAGAATCTGAGTCACACAAAAGAGTTAACCTGCGGTTAAGTTCCATAAATCAGCAAATATAAAGCTAAGCTTTGAGCAACTGTAAATTCAAAATATATTGCATCAAGTAACTCACCATTGACAATGTTATGCCCTCAAGAGCTTGACTGTGGAGAAAAACATCTTGAAAATTTTTTGGTTCACCCGGGGCACCAGGGTCTACATAGTAAATCTGTACATGGTTATATACTATGAGAATAAATAAATTACTTGTCTAACAAGTAAACAAAAACAAAGTTACAAAAACGTAATCTTGTGAAAACAACAATAATGATATTACTTAGGACATAAAATAACACACAAGAACAACAATGATAAAGGGCTTAACAAACCAATGTAGGTGCTGTAGGTGAATCCTTATTATCATCAGAAACAAAGTGGTCATCTTGATCTTTTGCATTTGCGGTGTTAGTGGCGGTGCTTGTAGCAGAAAGTCTCTCAACTTCTTTGAGAGCAACTAACCACCTTCTAAGCAACTGAACTCTCTCTATCCCTCTACATGAAACAGAAACTTCTTCTAACCGTTTTACAGTATGCCTAAAACTTTGCATATTCCGCGATACCTATTCATTCATTCATCAATAATAATAAATCCATCTCAGACATGACACCAATTCGAAAGTTCATTAATCTAGAAATTCCTTACACTACAAGGTACATTGATTGAAATTGATACGATTCATTTACCGGTTTCTAAAACACATTAATCTCAAGTAATAACATCTCTAATGCAAGAAAATTCAGAACACTAAATCGGTGGATCATACATCGACGCAAATTTCACTCGAACTGAATAATATTTAAGAAGAAAAGGAAAATTGACATACAATGCGGTCCTGTATGATTTTGGCACCTCCGGCGACGGCGTTGCTCGCATGGTGAACGACGGTGTCGGCGTAATTGCGAACGGTGCGGGTGAGATTGCTCTGGCCACCTGCTTCGACGGCTCGGTTGACCGCCAATCTTACCCACGACATTGTTGTCAATAATTTCGAAATTCTTCACCGTTGCAAAGTGATTATGGTAAAGAATGGTGATGAAGAAAAATGGAGAAAGAAAGGAAGAAGAAATCAAGCATGTTGAGATCAAAGTTCGATGCTTTGGCATCAATTTCGATTCCTTTGCCTTCACTTTCGCTCTGTGTTTATTCAAATTATAATTATGATTATTCTGTTCTTACTATTTTTACCTCTAAAATCTCTATCAATTAACGTGAGGGATAATTAACTCCTTATAATAAATTAAAATATATGTGACAATTTGATCCCAAAAATTTTAAATTAAAATAATTATTATCTCATTCCACTTTTCTTTTCTTTTCCCTTTTGAAAATTCAAATAACATAATAAGTTCATACTAAAATAATTTCTAAAGAAAAAAACTAAATCCCTAAGCCATACATTAAAATCACATAACTTGTTTATATTTTTATCTTCAAATATGATGAATTAATAAATGAGAAAATGGGTGATACATCAGTAATACTAAATTAATTTTATATTGTGAATCAATAATAATTATATTTTTCGTCAAATCAGATTTTAGAATGATATAGTTTTGTTAAATGATAATGTGGATCCATTTTCGTTAAACCCTTAATAAATGTTTATTCTTTTTTTATTTTATGATTGGCTAGTATGAGTTTTACTTATTTTGAAAGGGTTAAATTGAATTTTTTTTTTTAATTTTTAATGGTATAGTCCAAAAGTCATTTTTGTTTTTTTTATAAATTTAATATCCTTAGCGTGCAATAAAATTTATATTGTTGTGTGTTTAGGATTAAATTCGAATTCAAAACTTATGATTAAAGTAGAAAAGATCCATGTCATTTTATTCAAGTGCTATGGAATAAATTGTATTTGCTTTTAGATAGAGAGCAAAGGTAACGCGACTAAAAAAGAGAGCGGCGGTGCGAGTAGTTTGGTTGTTGCATGTGTTTGTATCTAAGACATGAGAGATATGATTGTTTACAAGTGTTGTTTTTGTAAACAATCACGAGTTTGAATGTCTATGAGAGTAATTGAAAAACTCTCCAAAGCAATTTGTGCAAATAATTTGTGTAAACACATGTGCATATGAATTGAATGCAGCGTAGCTAAAAACTTTAAATGAGGTTAAGTTGAGATAAATGATAAGGTAAAATGCAGTAAATAACATTAAACAAAGTAGAAGAAAAGTACAATGTTCCGTTTGAGGAAGCAAAAAAGACTAAGAAAAAAAGGTGGAAGCAAAAGTATACATGTTTCTCGCTCAAGTGTTTCACTCTTTGACTTGGGTACTCTAGTGGTATGGAAAGTATGTATGAAATTTTGCAACCCTTGATCACATGTATGAGTGTGATATTTATTCTATTTATAAAGTAACCGTCAACAAAGGTTATGACCACTGAGAGACTACCGTGTTTGCTCCACGTTCAATCCTTCAAGTTCCCACTAGTGCGCTTACATGTCTTCCAATACGCTATCTTCTTGCAATCCACGTTGAGTGGTAACTTCTTTCCACTTCCTTACGAACCTTTGACAGTAACTTCTCCAACGTGTCGCCGACGAGGCTTAAGACTTGTAAAAAGTCACTAAGTCTTTCATGCCACGCTGTTTCATCGATCGACCCCTTTTGATAGAATGGTGACTTTTATCGACTATCCTTATTGAGATTCTGGACATGTTTTTGTCGACTTCCCTTTTTGAGATTTTAGACACATTTCCCAATGGGCTGGGTCTTGGGGATTTATCCTTGAGAGTCCTCCAAACCATGTCTCGCTGCGTTGATGACTCGATCGACCTCTCGTCATTGGTCTGTCGACGTCTTGTCATTAATGCTTCTTTAAAAGATACTTCATTAATGTTCATAATAAACGTCTTTTCATTAATATTTTTTGTTGACTTTCTAGTAGCTGAAAATCCAAGTGTAACAGATGTCTCCCAAAAAAATGTCATTGTCGACCCATATCTGAGGGGAGAAAAATGTCATTGTTTGTAACTACTTTAACATTGTTCACATTTTATGGCACGTCACCTCAATCATGCTTGTTGTCAATCATTATGATTAACTTTATTACCAAACGTTACGTCTTTAAGACGTGTAACGTTAGTACATCATTGCCTCGAATTCCAATCTCATTAACTAGCCACTAACCTAGGATTCGAGATTTTGTTTTTTGATTTTATTAATCATGGATTTCCTCTCCTCAAGACTGATTATTAGTTTCGAGAACGCCATTTGTCCACGTTCTTGAGAGAAGCTTTTCGCCATCTTTTCTCTGACTATTTAAACCATTTCTTCTCAAATATCTACTTTCTTTCTTAATTCCCGTCTCTGAAGCTTACTGCAGTGGAACCCTAAACAGTGCCACCCATTATTTTTCCATTACAAACCTATCATCTCACTTGACCTTAAAAATGGCCTCAAAATCTCTCATTCATAACCACCCTCCATTTGTTGATGTTCTTAATGTGAGGGCAAGGTGTCTCAACCTTTACTTTAATGATGTCAAAATGTGTCTAGTTAGTACTTTTTATTTTGGACGGTATCATCGAGTCTCATTTGCATTCGTAGTTCTCTAGTGCATTAAATTATTTCAAAAACATAAGTCTATTCATATAGAAGAGCATCATATGTGTTTTGTGTGTATTTGATCCTTTTGAGAGACTTAGGTGTGCATTAGTATTGTTTAGAAAGACCAAGACATGTTCAAAAAGTCATTTTTGGGAGTTTCGAGTACTTGAGTCGACTCAAAGCCCTGCTTAGGTTGACTCATGTAATGTGAATTTTGAGTTTTTGCTCTCAGGTGTGCTCGCTTCGATCCTTCGGTCGACTCATAATGTTAGTATTTGAATTTGTCAATTTTACACAAGTTTACGTCAACGCGTGGACTTGTTCCGGTCGATGCATAAAGTCAGTTTTTGCAAATTTCTGAAATCGGGTGTGCTCAGGTCGACCCCCTCTTTTCTTAGGTCGGTCGTTCGCTCAGACTACTCTATTTCTCTGATCTGTTTGATTTTCAAATTGTTGTTATGGTTGTTAATTGGTCTTAGTCTCATATATATTCTTTATGGCTCATTTTTAACACCAACAACAAGAAAAGTGAAATATTGACAATGATTTTCTCTCATCATCTTCATCCTCTTTCTTGCATTTTCTCAACAAGCACACATAACAATTTTTATTGATCATTCTACATCATTGAGGTGATAACTTTCGGATTTGGGTTGAGAGATCGATGGGTTTTCTTGAATAAAACCATTAGGTTTTTGTCCTCCAAGAATCTTGAGGTTTTGGAGGTTTTGCACAAATCGTTTCTTCACAAATTAAGCCGACCGAAAGTGATTGAAGAACGGGTGGTTCGTTCAATCTAGTAGCGTTAATCGGAGGATTGAGGAAGAAATATTTGGGTTCGAATTATGTGTGATTGAAATCATCCAGGCTAAAGATTTGAAGACCGTTGGGTTGTTTAGGCGAGTAGCTGGAATCAAAGGTTTATTCAACACATTTGAGGCACTTGATTCAACTTGAATCAAGGGGAGATAAGACATAGTTTCAGCATCAACAACTAGGTTTGAGTGTGTGATTACTATTTCTTCTCTTGTACAAACTTTTGCAACATGTTAATATAGATCTCAGTTCTATTTCTAGAATTGAGGAAAAACATACCCCAAACGAGAACAAAGGGGGAGCTGCCTCAACAAATTTGATGTTGTTCTCTCTTTCGCTAATTTTCTATTTCTGAATTGTTAACGTTTGTGCACAATCAGTTGTTCGATAAAAATTCTGGTATAGTGTAGTGCTGAAAAGTGTTTTGAAAACTCATTACAATCATTTTGATTGTAATTGGAAAAGTTTTGCACTACCATTGCTTAGAGAATTTCACTTGGGATGTTTTGCACACAAAGTGTTCGACAAATTGATCGTACACAAACTATTTGTACTTTTGTCAATTTGAGTTTAACTTTTATAAGCCATTGGAAATTGCACAAACTTAAGTGACTCTAATTGTATTGATTGGAATTCAAACATTGATTTTTTTTCTCATTAGATTCGATATTCCATCTCGGCTTATCGCATATCCGATCTTTTCAGTAACAGTTCATTTAAACAACCTTAGTTCCTCGGCCGCTTCCGCATAAATTTTAAAAACCAAATTTCTTTTAAGCGCCGACTTTGTTTAGGAATTAGTGATCTATTCAACCCCCTTCTAGATTATTGTCATCGTCTAACACTTGATTAATTGATTTTAGCCAATGATCAGACGTATGTTCAGGAACCCCTTCTAGAAAACGCTTGGTGAAATCCCTGAAATGCTAACCTATTGGTCCCTTATTCCATCGTAGGGACCACCCTTTCCTTCATGGGGTCTATATCCGAAGCCTCTAAACTACCCGAGTATTTTGAATATTTCTTACCTAGTTGTTCGAAGGAGAATTGGGTCCAGTGGTCTTGAAAAGTTCCTCTTTTGACTTTGGGTTTCTGCAAAGACAGATCTTCTGCTCTTTGCCCCCTCCCCCACTGAAACTACTGACTCTGCTTACATTACCTGTCTGGACCGGGTAGAGTCACAGGAAAAACCTATGTGACAAGAACAAGGGATCTAAGACCTCATCCAGCTCTCTAGGGTAGGTCCTAGATACAACCCTGTTATATTGCTCGAAGCCATGTGCTTTTGGGCGATTTCCATTAACACCTTCTAGCTGTTAAATGATAGACTTTGATATAGAGGGTGAATAGATCACAAATTTAAAATCAAACTTTTGGAAAAAAATGTTTTTCAAAAGTTTTATGGCACATTAGAAATAACCCGAATCGAATCATTTAACCGAACCTCTATCGAAAAGCTCGGATATGCGTAAAGGTACACAAGCGTATGAAATGAATACAAATTTCCCAACAACAATCAATCACAAACAATTGAATGCAAAGCTACACGTAGAGCTTGTTTCCAATTATCAAAACACACAAAAATACAATAAGGTAATTTATCAAACACTTTATGTGCAATCGATATCGTTTGAAAATTCGATTTGTTTTGTTGATCTAAAATCAATCACAATCAATCGGATTATGATTATATCAACAAAACCTAATTCAAAATGTTATAAAAAATTAATTCCCAAATAAATAGATCAAACGAACAACGAATTTGATAATTTGCAAACACAAAATTAAAAGAGAGAGATAGAGATAGACACACACATACACACGAGGATTTGTTTAGGAAGTTCCCCAATCAGTCTCGCTATGGGTACGTCTTCCCTCTATTTGAATTCAAATTGAGATACTTGTAATTAATCTTACTTTACAAAAAGTGTATATACAAGAGATGAAGGGTGCGAGTAGTTAATTCCTAGTATCGGGGATAAGTGAAGTGTTACCTATGTTGATGGTAACGAGTTTTTGTGAGCCTCAATCCCATTGTGATGGATCAGGTGTGAGTAGCTGATTCCAGGTGGGAATCGGTGAATCATTACCTATGTTGATGGTAACGATTTTGGAGGGCTCTAATCCTATGGTGGGGATCGGGAGCGAGTGAACCTGAGAGTTCAGATTTGGTACCACATGCATTGAGTTTTGGTGTTGAGTCTCATTGTATTGGGATCGGGAGCGAGTGAACCTGAGAGTTCACATTTGGTACCACATACATTGAGTCTTGGTGTTGAGTCTCGTTGTATTGCATACATGTTGTATTATTATTTTTGGATTGTGTGGATTATGAATTGTTGGATGGGTGATTATGCAAATGTTGAGGGTGTGCTTACATATTATTATGCATTGCTTTATATGATTGTGATTTCTCACCCCTTATGTTTGAATGTTTCCTTTACATGGACATCGTGCAGATAATCCGCAGTAGATGCGTGGATGTGAGCGGAAGAGAGTGTTATTCCTTTTGAATTTTGTAGAGTCGGCGTCTACTCTGATATGTAACATTAAGGGTTGAACGCTTTTGTGTTTATTTATTTTTGGTGGAGATTTTATGTATATCTCCCAAGTTTGATGATTCTTATAAATTCTTAAATAACTTTATGTTATGATTTGGTTTTGAAAATGTTAAATTAATCAGTGATTGATGTTTTCCGCTGCTAAATAAAATAAAAGTTCAGACATGATTATTATTATATTATTACTATTATCATTGTGAATTTTATATGTGTTACATATCTCTAAACATGAGTTGGTTGGTGTTAAAGTAGCATCCTAATTTATTGTTGAATGTTTAATTTACTCTGATTTTATAATAAATTACGTAGGAAAAATTAGAGTGTTACAAATTACATGATAAATCTCCTTATAACCTAATGATGCATTATAATTGTGAATCTTTGAAATTATTTCGAAAAATGTGAATGCATATTTGTTACTTTTTGAATTTAATTGAACTTTGAATTATATCATTATGAACAAAAACAAAATGAAATGTGTGACATTTGAAATCTATTTGGTCCTTGAATTAATACATTACGAATATGAAACCAATTGAAAATCAAAGTCAAAAAATGAAATGTGTCATTGAAAACACGTTATTAATGGTTTAAAATAAGGTAATGTATGCATGAATGGATGTGAGAAATGCATAGATCGTGACAAAGAAACACGCAAGGTTCAAATTGGCTAATTGATAATCCATTTCTAAAAAACTTAAGAGCAAATAGTTTTTATCTTATAAGCAAATCCAAAAATGAATCAAAATGATTCAGATGAACCAAAAGAGTTTCTTACTTCAGTGACCCTTAGTGACGCATGACACGAATGTATGAATGGTCAATATAAACAATACAATCAGATTGACCTTCAATCCTTTATCAATGACTTGACTTATACATGAAGATAACATGCTATGAACAGACCAAATGGTCACAAGAAGTTACTTAAATAAAGAGGTGCAGATAAATGAAATGTAAATGCTAATGAATGAATGAATGAACTGAATGAATGCAGATGAATTATGAATAGAATGAATGCAGATGAATTAGGTGGGATAAAATTTAGAGTATGATAGGATATCCAGTGCAAAGAAAGTTTTCAATAGCTAAAAAAAAATATATTTGATGAATATTTTAAACATCACTTACTTAAGTTTATAATTGCTATATAAGTATGTAGCATTTGTCCATTGCATTCCTGTTTTTAAAAAAATTAAAACCATAGTATTAAAATATGGACCGGCTTGGCCCATCGGGCCTCGTGTTCCACTAGGATCTGGATCGAACTCAATTTTGATAGACCATGAAGTAATCGGGCAAACGCACTCTAATCCGTTTATACATGTTGGTTGGCCAAAGCAGACTAGGTCAGGCTGACCCATTTGACTATAATTGGCTTCATATAGAGCATGATTGTCGAGTTACAGAGTGTCGCGCAATACATGTGAAAGAGAAGGTAGAAGCTTAAACATATCCGATAGTTTATATTTGAATGTATTATTTTTTTAATTTTTCGAACAAATGTTATGTAGGATCATGACTTTTTGAATTAATATATGACTTTTACTTTCATTTAACTTTAATATAAATTTAATTTTACTTTGATTTTACTTTAATATAACTTGACCTCGAAATGATTTAGAGGAGTTTCTGGATCTCCAAAATAACTCTTTTTGTCATTAACATGCTTCCAATATCTTTTAAAGAACTTCAAAGAACATTTCAGAGATATATATTCAGACACATCCAAATAACATACAAAGATGTATCTCCGAACACACCCAAATAACATACAAAGCTAAAACTCCATACTATATTTTGTTCAAAATAAAGTGAATCTTAGAAAAGTGAAGCCTAGTGTAATTTTGAGTACGTCCGAAGAGATATATCTCAACGCATGAAGGACATTTTTGGGGTGGAAAGAGCCCCATAACAAGATAAAATAAAAAAATATCCACAAACTTAACCATTATTTTTTTAGGCCCGTATGCCATCAACAAGCTTAAAACATCATCACCTAGTTTTTACTAAAGACGGTTTTTGTTCTCCATCTCTTTTGTTCAATTATATTTTTTTTGTTACAGAAAATTTAGGTGAGATGAGTTAAGAGGGTTCATCAGGATTATGTGAGTTGAGTTAAGAAGAAAAAGACAACTAGTGTAAAATCCTAATTTATCGGTGAAAAAACGAGAAATTGAAATCTACAGAAATATCAATCACTCAGAACTAATGCCACATATTCAAAAGGCTAACACATATTTGTAGGCAATGAATAACATTAGTGAAGTTAATAGACCAAAATGGAACAAATAATAGTTATAGGCCAAAGTAATATCACAAAAAATAGTGCACCAAATAAGCACCAAAACTCTCCAACTGTATTTTCATGTCCAAGCTGAACATGCAAGATGTGCATGCCTCAAACAAATCATTAAGCTAATTGAGTAATCCATACTGATATTACAATGCCTAGGGTGAGATATTTTCAGAGTCTACAATTTAAACACACCCTAAAATAATCATAAACACCGAGTTTAGACTAAGACTTAACAGAATTGCATATCATGGCATGAAAATACAAACTCTAATGCTCGGTGGCCACGGCCACAGCCACTGACACAGAATTAGAATTAGAATTAGAGAGAAAAGATAGTTGTTTTGATAAGCATGTATGCTGTTGTTTCATAATAACCCAATGAAAAAATATACAAGATGTGGCAGTTACCATGTAAGCCAAATGTTATTCAACTCTGTTGATGAGTAGAAATGAATCAAGATTTAATGCAGTTCAAAAAAGAAGAAAAACAAGGGCATTGTCATCATAATGAGTTATGTCCTTGAATAACTTACACGCCCAATCATCAATGATTTCCTGGAGTGAATGTACTCTTTGCTCGGTTATGGCACATAAATGCGTCAAATTGGTGGATTTGTCTGGCTTTTTGTCAGACGTGGTGAGTTGTTCCGCACTAACGGATCCTTATCAAAGGGAAAGGAATAACTTAAAACTGAAAAAATTAGTCAACATCTGGCAATGGCATTCTCCAATAATTCCATGCGTTGTAATCCTCCTGCAATGTTCAGATATTAAAAGTCAAAAATCTCCGGGGTTAAGTTCAAATTTGACAATAAAATGTATTGAGATGATTTGGCACCTGCTCGACCAAAGAAGTAGGCGGAAACATGTCATTGACGAGGGTATGTAACGATGTATATGACTTTGCGCCAATACGTTGACTAATAGCCACCTCACCCTGTTAGTTTTCACAAGATTTTGTTGGCGTATCAGTGAAGAACTAAAGAAGATCCCAATCATCTGAAATATTAATCAAGAAAATACTAATTTTCCAATTAGGAAAACACACCTTAGGGTTAATAATGAATATTTTGCCCTTTGGGATTCCAATCTTCCTGTAACTAAGCTCGTCTGTGTCTCTATTGCCAAACCCCGCATAGAATGGATTATAATCAGAAGGGAAAAGTCTTTTGATATCCTGCAAAAAATATATATATTGTTGGTAACACAGATTCTAAGAGCATTTCCGAGATATACAATGACATGGTTTTGTGCTCCAGCAGTTACCTCTAGACAAGCAATCTTGAATTCATGAGGTGCTCTTCTTATCACTTCCATCCAAATAGGTCCAAAAACACAAAATAACAAGTTAGAGACTTAAAATATCCCGCACGTAAAAAGAACAGATGATCCCAACACAAAGGTAATGCACTGTTATTCTTAGATTTCTAGTAATATGCAAGTCTATCATCACATAGTTAACAAATGATTACATAATTACATGAAACACATATATAGTAGTATCCAACGCATCTTCAATTAATCTCATTTTAAAAGTGCCTCACCTTCTCGGAAAAGTGAAGGAAATAATCCATCAGGAGAAATAACAACAGGTCCATTAGGTAAGGTTTTTCCATCCTGCAAATATACAAATGTACTATTTAGCTAAAGAAATATCATGACAGTGATTACCTCATAATGATTTTAAAATAGTCCTTCAATTATGAACTTTGATATATAGAATTCATTTATATGATATATCATATTGATCGATGATAATATGATACCTGTTTCAGGTTAAGTAGGAAGTTCCTCGTTAGATATGCCTGGACAATTGCACGGGCACTCAAAAACAGCAGCTGGTATCCGTTTTCCTGACATTAAATCCAAATTAAGTACTAAATATTAATTTTCTTGAGACAAATCACAGTAACTATAGGTAGCTGTACTTTACTTTTGAAAGACAGTAAAAGTTTTGCTGCTAACCATTTAATTTATTTACATTTTCATTCTAGTAGAAATAAAATGAACAGAAACATAACTAACAAACTGTAAGAAGAAAGCGGAAATTAAACTACGAGTCTTAAGGAAATACCCTATAAAGATCGGTTTCCATATACATAATCATATTTTGGCCTTAAAAATTCTACTCCAATTAAATTGAATAAGTTTAATCTGCATAAATAAATAAATACCTTAATGGCAGAGAAAAGCCTTGCCACCCCAGATTGTGTCCAATCTTTGCCAACCAAAGGCATGAACTGTCCTAAAACATCAGACCTAAAAGAAGGGAAAATAAGAATTTGATTTTTATTCCCAAAACTATTAAATGTTTACAATAATAGCTTCGGGAAAAAAACTAAAGATGTCTCATAGAATCACTTTTATTTTAAGCTTCAAAACCAAATGGACCCTTTGTAGCCTAAGAAGCGTTGTTAGTAGCCTTACTTTGTAATAGTTCCATCAACATCTGAAATTACAATTCTTGCATTCCACTTCCATAAGTATATATGAGCATCAACCTGTTTTGCACAATTGGAATGTCTCCTTTAATAAACAAAAATTAATTACCGTATATAACTTCGTTTGAGAGCATAAAGAGTCAATGAATGTCACAAAACCTGCTGTGTTCCCAGAACCCTTGTAGAGAAACTGAAGGTTACTGTATTTTGACCGTCTTTAAGATTCAACGATGCTATCTGTTCATTGGTGGGAACATTTGTCCTTATAAATTGCTTACGAGGAGAACCCTCGGAGCTCGATGTTGGAGTTGGTTCTACAAGGGCCCCAGACTCGGAATCTAGAAATACCTCCTCAGTTGATGCATTGCTATAATTGTGCTCAAGTGTCTTGACCCTTCGAAAAGGAATAGGCCAAAGTCTCCATCTACGTCCAGATGTAGGTGATTGTTGATCTTGTTCCACAGGAATTGCATCTTTCCGCTCAACAGGTATATTTAAACCAAATACAGCAGTTCCGAGAACAAGAGGAGCAGCCTTTTCCCACGTCAAGTACATCTCTTTAAACTTGATAACAAGATTTTGATTTTTAATTATTGACTGTGCGGAATTTGCAAAAGACTCTTCCGATATTCGATGCGCTTCAAACACTCCAGCAGCAGCTTCCAAACCCATACCCGCCTTAAGTTCATAACCACAAAGGGATATCTCAAATCCTGAATATTATAAGATGAATCAAAAGTAAATAAATACTAAATAAATACCGAGTAATATAAGACAACTACTGAATCCAAGAGCAACAACTTTGCAGCACAGGGCTTACCCAAACCAGAATGGATTCGATCAACTTTACTAGAAGTTCCGGTTTGAGGTTCCACCACCTCACTTGCACTATTACTAATATTTTCGAGTGAAGTGGTTTGACGACTATCATCTTCCCCGCCATTCGATACCGACATGGGAACTTGTTCGTTATTCCTTTCAGTATCATCAATGACAGAAGGAGAGCTGGAAGCAGTTTCAACTTCTCCTGATGCATCCTTTTCAACCTCTTGATCTTGAAGTCCTGATTCCGACTTTGGAGATTTATGGCCACCAGAAGTAGAACTAGTTGTGGAGGATAATCTGTTAATATTTTGAGATTTTTCAATGCTCTCTTGTTTGTTTTCATCAACTACAGAAGAACTTGCATCAGATTGTATAACTAACTCTCGTTCATTTTCATCAACTAAAGGAGAACTTGCATTAGGTTCATCAGATGAATTTTTAACCTTCAATAATGAACCAGAGTCATGCAAGTCCTGCTGCATAAAATCCTGTAGCTCCAAACAGCTTTTGAAGACACTGTCTTTCTTGAGACCAGATGCAACCACACCTTCTGAATTGGTTATCGTATGAAGGTCTTGAATTTCGACCTCCAAAGTTTCTTGTGATTGACGAATACTCACCTCCTCTCTTTGACAAACTTCAAGTGGGGCCATGGAGGTGTTATCATTACCATTAGTGTCACGTCGAATGGACTGGACATCGTCTGTTGAAACATCCAGCTGCGTAATATAATCAGCAGCCCAAGCAGTTTCACCGGAACTAAACTCTTCATTTCCTTCACATATGTCAGTCTCTTCCGCCGGGCCGAGATGAAATTGAGGATTTCTTAACTGGACATTTTCCTCATTCTGCTCTGATTCTGAGATAGGAGCCGTCAATATATGACCATCAACACTCACTAAAACCATCTCAGGGTGAGGACCCTTTGAGTCCACGGAATTTTCACCCTCTAGATTCTCATACGAGTTAGACCCGTAATCCGATAAATCAACAGAACTGTCAAAAGAATCATGGAAGTCATAATATCTCCCATCAGATTCCGTCCTCTGAATTCGAGGTACAACAGATGAATCAACTTCACCTTTCAACCCAAGCACCCCAGAATCCGAGAGACAATGATCAAGTACATGAGCATTACTCAAAAAATTACCACTTTTGTTATCAGAATCTTGATCAAGATTAATCCCTTTCTCCTCATCCACGTCCTTCACAAAATAAGCCTCCCCAGAATTGTCAAGATACATATGGAAGTCAGACTCAACACCATTAACACTTATTCTAACAACCTTCTCAGCACCTTTAAGAACACCTTGGAATTTACCAAACCTAACATACCAAGGTGTGCTTCTAAATGTACCATCTTGTTGCTGAACAACAATCACATCAACAGCACCACCGAAGGGGTGAAAAGGAGTAGCAACTGAGTACACACCTTGGCTTATCAAACTTCCAACTTTCCCTACCACATTCATTTTCTTTCCTCACACCGAAAAAAGAAAAACCTCAAACTTCAACAAACATAAATTCTTCCTCCAAACTTTGTCTCTAGTCTTAACAATGATTACTGTTCCTAATCAACAACAACAACACTGCATGTCAAACATGAACTAGTTTTTTTTTTGGTGGAAAAAAAAACATAATGACCGATTTAATATTCATAAAAAAAACAAAACTTTGCATCCAAACTGAAGAGGAAAGAAAACAATTGACAATTGACAATTAACAATTAACAATTCAAAGTTGAAAATAGAGTTACACTTACAGATTCAGAAAACAATCTGGGGGAACAAAGAAATTGATGCGATTTGGATGTTTTCTCTTTGTAACGATGTTGAATTAGATTATAGGAATAACTATTTGAATCATCCACTTGTTCTATATCTATGGTGGTTATGAATTGAATTTTCGTGGAGGCTTCAATGAAAGTTTGAATTTTCTGGAGGATTTGGATACAGAAAATAAGAAACCCCACACAACCCCGTTTCAGTCCCACGTATCAAATAGTTATTCCTATAATCTTCGATAACTCCGTTTATGCAAACTATATTACGGGAATTTTGTGGATAATGTATATCCTACAAAGGACTTTTTGGTCATTTTCGTTTGTTTTTGGGTGTGTAATGCACCGACCAGTCGTATAAACGACTGAAAATGTTCAAAATGTAACGAGATGTTGTCGGAAAGACGAGAATGTCCCGCAATGTTTTAATTCATTCAAAAACTATTGTCTTTGTCCCTATTATGTTACGATGGTTTATTCTTCGAATATTATTTTTCTATTTATCAAACATATGCATATGAAAGAGTATATATTTTAGGATTTTAATTGACATTTAAGGTAAAATCATTTTAGACTATATAAAATAATCTTATGTTATATAGTTAATTTTAATTTTCGGTTCAAATAAATAATTTTAACTTTTTTATAGTTTAATAAGTATATTATTTATTAAATACTAGTGTAAGATTATTTTATATTTGGTTAAATACTTTTTTCTCTTAACTACATATTTAGATTTAAATTGATCGCTTAATTAATTTTTGTGTCAAATTGGTCTCTTGACTTTTTAAAACGTGTCATATTGATCATTTTTGCCTAATTAACGCTGAAAAAAATTTAAAAATTCATCGTTAAATTCGTCGCTAATTAGACAAAAAAGACCAATATGATACGTTTTAAATAGTTAAGGGACCAATTTGACACAAAAAATAATTAATGGATCAATATAAACTTAAGGATAAAATTAAGGGAGCAAAAAGGATATTTTGCTTTTATATTTTTATGTATATTTTCTACTTATTTTATCTCGTATCATGTTTTCTATTATATTTTTGTATATGTACTACCTTACTTATCTAATATTGTTCTGAACTGGGCCGAGACTTGCCCTTCAGTCGAGCAGGCCCAATCTAGTGTTATGCTGATGAGGTCTAACAAGGCCCAAGTTTCTCTGTCGAGCACAAGCCTCAACAAGGCACACTAGTCGGGCAGAAGACTCTCTTAACGGGGAAGCCCACGCGCTTCCCCCACGTTCTCCACGTGTCCCCCCGTGGGGACATGTCATCAGGCAACTACCCATTTTCGAAAGAGATGGTCAGCCCACCGTCCAAAGATCACGGGGCAGTTGATCTAGGGCGAAGACCACGTGTTGGTCTTCACTATGTCACGTAAGCTCTGGCAGTTACGTGTGTTGGGCTTGGCAATTCGGCCCAATGCAATGTAATTGTTGGCCCTGCGCTAGGGGCACATTATAAATACCCTCTTTCACCAGAGGGTCAGATTTTCCATTCACTACACCTTTTCTTTGTACTTGCTCTCTCTCTAGTTTCGGTACTCACTCAAGCATTGGAGCATCTTGTAGGTACACCCCTTTTTTCTCCTCCACAATACCGATGAAGCCAGCAACTCACGACGCGTGGCAAGCCACTGATTCCTTTCTGATCAAGTAAGATCAGTGGCGTCGTCTGTGAGAACTCTCTGCTTCCTCGTTCTTTCTCTTGTCCAAGCACAGAAGCTCAAGAACCAAAGCAACCTTCAACTTCCATTGTAATCATGGCTAGCCCACGCGACGACAATGCTCCTGAAACCGCCTTCATCCCTTTCAACAACGTAGAGGACCACGACCCCAACGTGGCCGCCCGCGACGAAGAAGGCGACTACAGGGACGGGCGCACCGCCTCACCCTCCTTGGAAGATGCGACTTTCAACACCGCTGTCTACCAGCTCATCCCGGTGTCAACGGCCGCCGCCCTTACCATGGTGGCCCTGTTCGCGACTATCAACCAGACTAATCTAATGATCTTCGGGCAGAACGAGCCAATATGGATCCTCGAGAGGGAACAACCATCATGCTCTCCCCCGCGGAGACATCACCGCCCAGTTTTCAATAACCCATATCCTCCTCCGCGAGGGACATGGCTAGTTGACGACTCTCGGAGCCCCTCTCCTCGGTCAATTAAGTGTCGCCCTCGTTTGCAGTGACCACATCCATTGGCTTCTCAAAAGCGGGGCAGGTCGCCTCCCCGGAAGGAATGTCGCTCCCCAGTTCTGAAGAAGAACAAAGCCCAAGGAGGGACCTCTAGACCAAGAGCCCGACATAATAGAAATAACCAGGGATCAATCTCCCCCTCGCTGTCACCCATCAAGAGTGACGAAGACGTCCAGTGCTTGCTACTGTGTAGGACTATTAGGGAGGCTCCACTACCCGTCGGGACAGAGAAACCCCTGTCCTTGGCAACATACGATGGCACAACCAACCCGGGCGACCACATCGAAAGCATCGGCACGATGCTCTATCAAAACGTTCGGGGAGCCATCAATGCAGGTTGTTCCCAACTACCTTGAGGAAGGGCAACTTAGCATGGTACAAACGCCTCGTGCCCGAATCCATCACCTTCTTGGGCAAACTGAAGAGGCCGTTTTCCAAGCACTTCACGGCCTCTCGACACCACCCGAAGACAGAGGCAGCCCTGGAAGCCATTATCCAGGGGAAGAACGAACCTCTTTGGGACTACATAGAGAGGTTCAACCGAGAGGCCGTCCAGGTGTCCACTTCGACTTCGCCAAAGCCGTTGGGATGGAACGTCCCTGCACCTTAAATGCCCTTCTCCTTAGAGCCCAATCATACATCGAGTATGAGGAGATAGAGACCACAAACACCACTAGGGACACGCGGAACTAGGAGGGGTTCAGGGGGGCCAGGCACGAGGAGGTCGCTCCTCCGCGACGAAGCGGGGAAAGAAGACGCGAAGATCGACCCTGCGAGCATAGGGGACCCGCGGGTAGGTTCACTAAATACACACTGCTCCCAGCTCCCCATGAGTGCATCCTGTCCGAATGCATCAATTCAGAATTTCAGAGGGGCGGTGTCTGCTACCCGAAACCGACGCCCCCTAAGCCCAACATGGACAAATCCAAATACTGTCGGTTCCACCGAAGTTATGGACATGTCACGGAGGACTGCATCCACCTCAAGGATGTAATCGAGATCTTAATCAAGGAAGGGCACCTGAAATAGTACACCCAGCAAGGTGAAGCTCCCCGACCGGAGGCCCGCGAAGCCAAGAGGGTCGAGGAAGTGTCTCCTCCTTCCAACGAAGCGGGACTACAAGTCGCCCTATCTATCTCCCGACCAGAAGATTTTCTCCTTTTTAGCAAGCCCGCCAGACCTTCGTCCGCCCACAGTCCGTGGGAGGATTTCCCAACCACTCTGATCATATCCGACGGGGCCCAGCAAGCTATCAGTAGGGTCGGTCAAGAGGAAATTCGAGGAACTCATCGACAAGAGCTCGAAGATGAATGTTACCCTCGACAAGTTCAAAGGTCAATCGAACCCAATTACCTTTTACCTCGAGGAGCTTCCTAGGGATGCACCTAACTCCATCGTCCCCCTCCTGATCAAGGCTCAGATGGAAAACTTCGACGTACGCCGAATCCTAGTCGACCAAGGGAGTTCGGTGGATATTATGTACACCCATCTGTTCACGACCCTCCAGCTCGACGAGAGCCACCTGACCCCGTATATCGGCTCTAACCTCTAGGGCTTCAACGGTACCACCACCAAGCCTTATGGATACGTGGAACTGCTCGTCACATTCGGGGCCGAGGAGACAGCCAGACAGGTGAAGGTCTGCTTCTTGGTAATTGAATGGCCCTTCTTATACTAGTGCATCCTAGGAAGGCCGACCTTAGCTGAGGTGACTGCGGTACCGTCTACACTCCACCTGAAGATGAAGTACTACATGACCAGAGATTGGGTCGTCACCCTCCACGGGGACATCGAGGCAGCTAGAAGATGCTTCGAGGTGGCGCTTAAAGGACTCAACTCGATCAACGTCCCCCTCCCCCAAGTCGACTGGCAAGCCAGCCCGGACTGAGGAGCAGAAGCCACTCCCTCACGTTAACTCCGTCGACCTCGACAGTCGCTTCCCTAGCAAGCAAGAGCAGAGCATGGAATCTGAAGACGTGCCTCTAATAGACAACCGGAAGCTGTCCCACCCGACGCGCCATATTCTAGACGGAGACTTCGAGCTCATCACGCTCGAAGACGACCCAGAAAGAAGCGTGAAGATTGGCACGAGACTCCCTGACTTGGCGAGGAAGCATCTTAAAGCCTGCCTCCAGAAGAATGTTGTCCTGTTCGCTTGGAGCGCTGCGGAGATGCTCGGCCTCGACCCCGACGTAGCATACCACCATCTCACCATAGACTCGGCCGCTAAGGTCATAGTTCAACATTTGCGTAGGCAGTCTCCCGAGAAAGCGGAGGCTGCTGAAAAAGCTGTAAAAGACCTCCTAGAGGCAAATTTTATATCAAAAGCCTAGTACACAATCTGGTTGTCCAACATTGTACTAGTTAAGACATATAATAGAAAATGGAGAATGTGTGTTGACTATACTGATCTCAACCGGGCATGTCCCAAAGATGCTTACCCGTTGCCTGACATCGACAAACTCGTCAATAACTCTGCAGGT